TGCAAGGTCACCGACTTTGCAAGTCGGCGCCGACTTGCAAGGTCGCCGACTTGGGAGGTCGCTGACTTCAAGAGGTCAGTCTGGAAGTCGGCGCCGACGTAGAAGGGGCGTCGACTTGGTGACGCCGACTTTGGGTAGCCGACTTGGGTGGTCGGCTGACAACTGCACTGGTCGACGTGGAGCTGGTCGACCAGGAGTGACGTCGACCTGGAGCTGGTCGACCAGAGGAGTGGTCGACCTGGTGAGGTCGACTTGGTGTGGTCGTCGACTTGGGAGGTCGACGAGCACATACAGGAGCAGCTGGTCGACATGGTTGCCCGGTCGACCAGGATACCTGGGTGACGAGGTTCTGCGAAGGAGTGCGACGGTCGCCCAGGCGAAGTTGGCGAGTCCGACCTCGGTGGTAGTATCCCGAGGTCGACGTGGCGGATCAGGTGGAGCCGTCAGCACGAAGATGACTTGGTGCGTGCGCTGTTCAGGTGACGAGGCTTAGCCCTCCAATCATCAACGAGCACCTGCGAAGTAGGTGCGCTGCTGTTCTACGGGAGCAACGCTGGCACGCCGTCAACCTGCAGCGTTGGCACGCTGTCGACTTTGCACAGCTGGAGCGTGGTCGACCAAGTCGTGCTGGAACGCGGTCGACCATGCTGTGCTGGCAGTCGACCGATCTGAAGGCTAGCTCTGATGTAGTCTTGCCATGCCAACTTCATTGTACCATTATTGTCAACTTTCTCTAGTGAAACTCTTAAAAAAAAATTGCCCCGTGAACTAGCAAGCAGTGTGAGCACTAGGAAAACGACTAAGGACCAACGAACGCAGAGATCACACGAGCACACGTGCCTAGCCCGTAGTCTAGCTCCCGTTGTAGTAGTTATCTCCGCACTTACCCCGCGGACTATGTGCGAAAACCTTCAAACCTCAGGTAAAACACGATGCTTATAGTCCTGTTCAGGAAAATTGCATGATGAGTCGTTTGTTTGCTACTAGTCTCTGGATTTTGTCTTTTATGTAGATTCGGTTCCCCGCGCTGATCAATGTCGCATGACAAACGGGCAAAACAAAACAAAATCAATTATGGTTTGGGGGTCAAATAGAAGGTAAAAAGAGGTAAATGAGATGGCATCGTCGAACGCGCTGGAGATTGTCAGAATCCCAACCACTAGACCGTTGGGATAAAAGGGCTTGTTAAGTAGCGGGTCAGTGCGCCCATAACCCCCAAGGCCAACGTGCCTGTAACCCTTCCCTAGGATCAATCGGGGATCACCAGTGGACCTCTGACACCCCCCCGCAGTGGGATGCCCGAAGTGCATACACCGGGATTCGAACCCGAGACCTTCGCTCTGATACCATGTCAGAATCCCAACCACTAGACCATTGGGATAAAAGGGCTTGTTAAGTAGCGGGTCAGTGCGCCCATAACCCCCCAGGCCAACGTGCCTGTAACCCTTCCCTAGGATCAATCGGGGATCACCAGTGGACCTCTGACAGAGATCGCGCGACAGGATTGAGAATTAATTACGCTCATGAGAAATAATTACTTACAATGCCAAAGTTAAATATCGAATCGATGATCCATTATTTCTCGTTTTCCCTGAATGTTGGGGCTAGTTAGATCTGGAGCCTCTGATTGGCTGCGGAGCTGATTCGTGCGATGATTCGGTCAAGCTGCAAAATTTCCCGCCAAAAAAGGGACTATAGGGGTCGGGCCAACCCTAGGCGATATCGGACAACTCTACACAAGGGGGAAAAGGGACTCTTTCAGCGAGAGACTCTAACCCGGAACACTTGTAACAATTTTTAGAAGCTCATGTAAAGGGAAATTTTATAAGAGGTCATAGTTATGCCCGTTTTATCATGTTTGGTCACAGGGGTATCACAATCAGTCATAGTACAGTAGATTTCTATCGCGGGTGATCACAGTGCTATCACGGATGGTCATACCTCCCCCAGAAAAGCTATCATGTTTGGTCACTCGATGAAACGATCATAATTAATTTGAACCACGAAAGAAACAGTAGAATGTTTGGGGAATCCCAACCTTGATTGTTTGTTACCTCGCGCATTATTCTAGCCCTGACATTTAGGAAATTGAAGAAAAAAAATAAACCCCTATTGGATGGCACGTCCTTCGGGAGGCCTCAACCCTAAACACTATGCACCAATGTGTTCAGGGTTGATGCTCCCGAATTATATCCCATCCGAATGGGTTTTAGTTTTTGTATTGGGAACAAAAATTAAAGCTGCAGTCTACATTCTAAATGGTATTTTCTGGGGGTATTTCGGGTACACATCCTAGGACTCAGTCTGATTTGCTCGCGAAATGATCCCTTTTCCAGAATTCAGGGCGCGATAGTTTCAAACACAACTGGCGAATCCCGCCAGTTTCGTGCAAGGCTCGGTTGGGGAGTACTAATTTCGTGAGGTTGGGGTTACTTTCGCGATTTCGTGACAACCTGCAACCAATCGAGGTTGGGGAGGAGATTGGCGCGAAAATTGTAAGCCAATCCTGAGCAGGCCAATTTTTTTAGGGGGGGTTGGGTTGTCACAAAGCAGTAACTGCACCTCGCCACTCAAGGTTGGAGCGAAGCCCTGTGCTACCAGGTTTCCAAGTGATAAACGGAATCCTCCCGCAGGAAGTATGCAGGCGACAGCTTTAACCTTAGAGGTTCAAAAAGTGATATTTTGAGGGACATTGCGCATCGATCGAACTGTGGACATTCGAATAGTAAAGAAGAATTTGTAAATGTTTTTAACTAGTTACCAAGAGTTCTCACGAAACTTTTTCATGATAATACGGACAAAACGATAAAATTTCTCTTGAATCCCTACAGTGACTCGAGTAGTTACAGTTCTAGATTGGGCGTTTCGTCTGTGACCAAACGTGATAGACTTACGGGGCAAGGTGTGACTATCTGTGCTAGCACTGTGATCACACTCGATGGTTACGAGGTGTACTGTGACTGTTTGTGATACCCCCGTGACCAAATGTGGTAAATCGTGCCTAGTTGTGACTACCAATACAATTTCCCCTCATGTGGGTTTCTGTTTGTGCCTTGTGGAGCGGCTGCCGAATACACCTCGTACTACGGTAACAGCGTCACATCGCGAGTGGTATCGTTTCTTGCAGGGTAATTAGCTTTGGCAGGGGTACTACTAGCGACCCTGCGCTTTGAAGGGGACTACAGTGCCAGTAGCGGGCACTTTCCACTCCTCCGTGCCTCAGACAGGGAAGTTATAGAAACAAGACAGTAATCTTCCCCACATTCACCCTTAGCTTTGGCAGGGGTACTACTAGCGACCCTGCGCTTTGAAGGGGACTACAGTGCCAGTAGCGGGCACTTTCCACTCCTCCGTGCCTCAGACAGGGAAGTTATAGAAACAAGACAGTAATCTTCCCCACATTCACCCACGTGTCACCAATTTCCATGCCACGTACTGTACTGGACATTCTGACCAACTGTGCGCAACAGACTTTTGTCCCTTCTGCCAAATCGAAACCAATCTGACCGCGGGCAAAAAATATAAACCCCAATCGAACTGCATGCCATTCGGGAGCCTCAACCCTAAAATCTTAGGGTTGATGCCTCCCGAATTGCATGCCTTCCATGTGGGGTTTATTTTTTAACTTGCCCGCTGACTCATTGCACTGCCTGCTGACGCAGGCCTGTGTTCCGAAATTTTGGGCGCGGTACAGTAGCCTATCAGATTTCGGAACAGTGTGGCAGCCGAGCCACCCAGAGTGTGGATTCGATTTGGAAATTGTTGACACGTGGGTGAATGTGGGAAGATTACTGTCTTGTTTCTATAACTTCCCTGTCTGAGGCACGGAGGAGTGGAAAGTGCCCGCTACTGGCACTGTAGTCCCCTTCAAAGCGCAGGGTCGCTAGTAGTACCCCTGCCAAAGCTACTTACCCTTTCTTGCACAGCCCAGCCCACACATTTGACCGCACCTGGACGCAGTTCTGCAGCACAGAGCGGTGTACTGTATGGTGCCATACTTTTTTATGATTTCATAGCTTTCCGTGCAGCTGGCATTCTGGCGTGCAAGGCACGGGCCAGGGTCTTGGTTCGGTTCGGCGAGCTGGCATGCGTTTTGAAATGGATTTGGCCCTGAATGTAATGGATATTTTCACTCAGTACCCTCCAATTGCACACCCCGGTGTATTCGTTCCTGATTTACCCGGAAATTGAGGATTGTTAGGAACAGTCTGGTTTGAAGGAATTAACGATTCAGACTCCACTTAAGAGTCATCGGGAAAATGAAAACATGGTTGCAGCGGAAGATCCAGTCTTTACGTTGCGGTCTCAAAGTCACAATTTCACAACATCGACACTTTACAATGCCACGGATAGCCTCTAGTTCCTTGGGTGTCTGATCCCCAAAGCCAAAAAAGGTCCAAATGGGCTTAAGGCCAAAACTGACGGGGTCTGAAATTGGCGCGGGCTAGGTGTAGAGCTTGGTTGGTCTTGGGCTGGTTGTCTTGGCTCGAGGTCGGTTCCGCGGTGGAAGCACGTGCAGTACAGTACACATCATTTGGAATGTTGCTGTACCTCAACGCGGGGAGCCTTTGTACCCCCTATTACGTGAAGAAACTGCTAGGTTATTTGTCAGCCAAGCAAGGCTCCTTCCAAACATAGCACCTCCCCACCTAAGATACAATATCTATAAATTGGCATGTATGCAAACTTTTTTGTCCTAAATCAGATTGATATTTAGTTCTCGATATTTTTCTTCCCATTTTCTTAGGCGGATTCTGATTCTTGGTACGGTACAGACAGAGCGCTAGCCAACTTGAATACGGTACCAAACTTACAACGATTTTCGTTGTTACCGTATTCAAGTTGTAAGTTTGGTACCCTGTGTTGTCGTCAAGATCGTTTCCCTGTACAAGCCATTCAAGATCTTGCCTGCTCAAGAATCACACCCTTGAGCCACTGCACACTGTGGAATCTATCTCAACTCTCTTGTTCCAGTACACTCTTCGCATGTACACTGCACCCTAACTCCATCTGAAGAACAAATTGTCACCACCTTCAAACGGCTCTCCAACGATTCTACAAAGCATGGCAAGCCTGAACGGTCCCAACTCAGCCTTCTCCTCACCAATCTTCAGGCAATAACCTCTCTCACACCCACACACTTCCTGACACATGCACTGACTCTGACCTGCTCCCAATTCTTCATGGCTTGCCACATCTGTTAGGACCATTCCCAGCACCCGATACAGGTTAGAAATCACCCTTCGCTTGCTGTCCAATCTGGTAAAGTGATCCGTGCATCGCTTGGCCAATCGTTTCCATATTGCGGTGCATATAGAGCAAAAGCGCTTGGAGGGCCTCACTGCACCTTGCTCCTCCCCTTCCGCCTTTTCCTCCCCCCCTCCCTTCTCCTCTTCCTCCTCTCCCGTCTCAACGCCCTTCCCCTCCACACCTCCCTCCCCATCCCTCCGCCACAGCCCCTGCTGATACCACTTGGTGAGAACCATATCATCCAGAACAGTTGCAATCTCATACAGGTCATATTTCGCTTGCAGCAACACCGGCAAACCCCCCTGCACACCCCCCCGCACACCCCCCTGCAAAGCCCCCTGCTGCACCCCTCCCCCACTCCCTCCCCTTCTGCTCCTCAAGCCCCTTCCAAGCTCCTCTGTCAACCCCCCCTCCTTGTCCTCGGACGATCCCATGCTCTGTGTCCATCTGGCTTCCAGCTCTTTCACTCGCGCCTCCGGTGCGTCTATGACTAGGTCATCCTTCTCGGATCGCCATGCTTCTTGCAGCGCGGTGCGCATGGCTCGCACGGCGAAGAAAGAGCAGAAAGAGAGGAAGGAAGTGTAGTTCATCCCTGGTGGGGAGGGACGAGGCATGCAAGGGAGAGGAATGCAGGGAGTGGGGGGGTTTGTTCGCCATGCTTCTTGCAGTGCGGTGTGGTGTGCATGGCTCGAACAGCAAACACTGAGCAGAAAGAGAAGAAGGAAGAGTAATTTATCCCTGGTGGGGAGGGATGAAAAGGAGGGGTTGTGGAGGCACCAAGAGAAGGAGCTACAGAAAATTCACCAACAATTCATGGGTTTGTATACACACACATGCACACACATTCACCCACATGCACACCCACGCACACCCCCAAACACCACACACACCCACACACACCACGCACACCCACGCATCAACCCTCCATCCATCACGCACCCGAGTTGGCCATGAGGTTGCGCTGCACGAGCTGCTGAAACTCCCTCTCTGTCATCTGCCCCGCCTTCACCATCTCCTCCACATCGCAGATCGCTGCACGCGCCTCCTGCTCGTCCTCCTTCAACAGACGCCACTGCAGGTGGGTTGAGGGTGGTTGGGATGGAGTGGGTGGAGTGAGTGGGTGGGGATGGGTTGGAGGTGGTGGTAGGCAAGTCCCAGATTGCTACACGTCCCTCCTGCTCGCCCTCCTTCAACAGACGTCACTGTAGGGGGGTTCGGGGTGGAGTGGAGTGGGGATAGGGTGGGCGGAGATGGGGTAGGTGGGGAAGCGGCAGGTGAAAATGGGGTGGGTGGGGAAGCGGCAGGTGAAAATGGGGTGGGTGGGGAAGCGGCAGGTGAAAATGGGGTGGGTGGAAAAGCCGCAGGTGAAAATGGGGTGGGTAGGGACAGGGCGGCTGTTGAAGATTCTCAAACTGCTGAACTCACTTCCTTCTTCAATGATTGACAATGCCGGAGGGGATGGGATGGGGAAAGATGGTAGGGGGAGTGGTTGTTGACTTCAGAAGCACGCATATAGAAGGGTAAATAGATTGCATGGAGGGTGAATGATTGAGAAAGGAGCTGAGCGCATGGTTGGAGAGAGGATAAACGTGACACTGGGCATTTACGCCTTCAACAATAGTTCTCTGCGTGCGCGAACAGGCATGTGCATGTGCGTGAGTATGTGTGTGTGTGTGTGTGTGTGTGTGTGTGTGTGTGTGTGTGTGTGTGTGTGAGTATGTGTGTGAGTATGTGTGTGTGTGTGTGTATGTGTGTGTGTGTGTATGTGTGTGAGTATGTGTGTGTGTGTGAGTATGTGTGTGTGTGTGTGAGTATGTGTGTGTGTGTGTGAGTATGTGTGTGTGTGTGAGTATGTGTGTGAGTATGTGTGTGTGTGTGTGTGAGTATGTGTGTGAGTATGTGTGTGTGTGTGAGTATGTGTGTGAGTATGTGTGTGTGTGTGAGTATGTGTGTGAGTATATGTGTGTGTGTGTGCGTGTGTATGTGTGTGTGTGTGTGTGTGTCTGTGCGTGTGTATGTGTGTGTGTGTGTGCGTGTATATGTGCGTGTGTGTCTGAGTGTGTGTGTGTGTGTGTGTGTGTGTGTGTGTGTGTGTGTGTGTGTGTGTGTGTGTGTGTGTGTGTGTGTGTGTGCACGCGTGTGTGAGTGCATGTGAGCGATGAATATGCATGCCATACAGTGTGCATGAGGTTAGTGGCGTTGATCCAGTTGTGGTTGATGGAAATAGTGTCCTCCTGTCAGGCGGGGGAAAAGACGGAGGAGGAAGGGGAGAGAAGCGAAAGAAAGAGTGAGAGAGCATGGGAATCTGCACATTTGTTCCTCGCCTGAATCAATACAAATGACCGTTTTGAGAGCAGGAGGGCCTCAGCAGAAGGCGTTGCTCCAGTTGTGTGGTTGATGGATGAAAAAGATGGTCATTTCTTGCCAGGCGGAATACCAGAGCAGCCAGAGAGGGAGGGAGGAGAGAAGAGAACGAGATGGAGAGAGTGAAAAGAGAGGGGAAAGATAAAGGAGGGAGGGAGGTGGGAGAGAAAAGAGAAAGTGGAAACAGGGGGGGAAGCAGTCAGGGTGGGAGGGGGAGGGGGGGGGGGGGGGGGGGGAGGGGGGGGGGGGGGAGGAGGAGAGGGAGCACTCCACGTTGTACAGAAACAGGTATTGGAAACTGGGAACGGAATTTTAGGAACTGGGAACCGGTTATTCGGAACTGCTGCGAGAAAAGAGAGCAGAGTGAGACCGTTCCTCACAATAGCAAAACGTAACCCACCTACCAAGAAAAAGCATAGCCTCTTCAAAAGCTGACAATCACAGAGAATCATGAGTTCTCAGGACAGGAGGGGTGTGGAGGGGCCGAGAGCGGCGAGGGAAGGGAGGAGGGGCGATAAGGGGCAAGAGAAGGAGGAGGGAGACAGGGAGGGGAGGCGCGATGAAGGGAGGGGATGAGCACGAGGGGTCAATATGCAGGGAAGAAGAGGGGCAAGGGCGAGGAATGGAAAGAGGAGAGAGAAGAGAAGGAGTGAGTAGTGAACTAGGGGGAAGGGCTGACCAGGTTGGTGACTTGATGACTTTTGAGTCGACTCAAGAGTCACCTTGTTACAGAGTGAGGCGGGCTGACCAGGTTGGTGACTTGATGCAACCAGTTGCTGGGCACAAAGATGGCGTCCCCTGCTCCTTGCTCCACCATGCACCAGCGCGCCTGGTGGGGTGGAGAGGAGAGTAGGGGAGTGGAAGCGAGGAGATTGGGGGCTTGCGAACCCAGTAGTGGGGTGGGTGGGGTGTGCCTCGTGTATGATTTTTGAGGCGCCTAAAATATTCAGTCCAGTAGTGGAATGGGGTGGGATCGGGTGCGCTTTTGTAAGCAGGTGTGCAGGTATGCATGCAGGCGTGGAGGCATGGAGGCTTGCACGCGTGGGGACCATTCGGGAACTGATGCCCTGTGAACTTCTGAGACGCCTTAACAGATCGTGACTTCTGTGACACTCGTTTCATTGGGATCTTGTGAGGGCACCCACCAAGTGAAAGTCGGGAAAGAGACTACTTTTGGTCGATGGCACGCGGGGGAGTCAATGTCATAGACAGTGGCACGCGCGTGTGCTTGTGCCGCACACACACAGCTCGCCCAACCCAGCCCCCCATTCAGAACTGCAAGAATGTTAGGAGCACTCACCTTGTGGAAATCTGGAAACTGTGTGGCCACCACACAGGAGTCGATGTCACAGACAGTGGCACGAGTGCGCCCAACCCAACCAACCCCGTTCCAGACTTGCAAGAAAGTGTGAGTGTGTTTGTGAGGAGCATTCACCTCACCTTGTGAAAGTCAGGAAAGAGATTGGGGTGGACAGGGGAGTCGATGTCATAGACGGTGGCGCGTGTGTGCTTGTGCCGCATGTAGTGAGCCTGACCCGGATCCAGGAACAGCCAGCGCTTGCGCCCGCACACGTTGACGCTCCAGCTGTAGGAGCGCAGCACGTCAGTATGGAGAGGGGTCCACGTGCCTGATAGGGCGGGGTGAGGGGCAGGGAAAAAGGGGGAAGGGCGGAGGCAAAATTTCGAGTTGTCTCGAGAGGAAGAGTGAGCACTTGCGGCCCGCACACGTTCACACTCAGCTGTAGGAGCGCAGGACGCCTGTGTAGCGAGGCGTCCACATGCCTGATCTCCAGGGTGAGAGGCAGGGAAAAAAGAGAGGGGGCGCATATGCTGATGCTTGCACACGCACACATTGCCACTCCAGCTGTAGTATCACCAACGCAGACACCCCACATGTGCAGGACGTCAGTGAGGAGTGGGGTGGGACCACGTGCTCTGAGACGTTGTTTAAGCAACATCTCAAAACTGGGTCCAGCTGAACTGGGTCCATGTGCCTGATGGGCGCCAGGCAGGCATGACCAACGGAAGGGGAAAAGAGCGAGAGGGGGGGAGATGAGAAGACGGACGGAAGGCGTATCCTCACTGAGGGGTGCCTGCGTGCGTTGTGGGCAACATGTGCTCGGTCGGATAGCACGACATAGCGCCAAGAAGAAAGACGCTTGGGTGGGTTGGACGAGAGCGGATATGCTTGGCATGTCGCGACATGTCGGTCGTCGGCATGTGCCAAGGATCACATCACATCACACGACATGCAGGTCATGATGTGGCATGGCATGGTATGACATGGCACGGCAAGGCACGAATTGACATGGCAAGGCATGGCACGGAACGGCACAAAGCTCACCGGCTCGCCCCATGTACACAAAGCTCACCGGCTCGCCCCATGTACACAAAGCTCACCGGCTCGCCCCATGTACACAAAGCTCACCGGCTCGCCCCATGTACACGAAGCTCACCAGCTCGCCCCATGTACACAAAGCTCACCGGCTCGCCCCATGTACACAAAGCGGTAATCGGAGAAGCAGGCGGAGCCATCCGCGTCCACAGCCGACTGGCCGTTCGACTCTACCCCCTCCTCACAGCCACTTGGCTCAGAGGCACTGCTGTGCGCGCTTGCACCAGGAGCAGGGGCAGGGGCAGCACCGGCCGTATCAGCAGCGTCGGCATCAGCAGGAGGAGCGTTGGTGGCGGCGGCGGCGGAGGGGGCGGCGGCGGGGGAGCAGTGGGGGCAGGAGCAGGCGAGGGCGTCTGCATGGCAGTTGAGCCAGTCGTCGTGGAAATAGATGGGCGTGGTGTATGCCCCGTATGATGGGTGGTCCTGATGGGGGGATGGGAAGTGATAGGGAGGGAGAAGGGGGGTGGGTGGGGGGTCTGTCTATTTGAGGCAGCAGCTAAGTGAAATTGGGAGTGTATAGACATGGTGCTCCGTATTCGGCCTTTTAAGACATCATGATACTAGGTGACAGTGGGAGTGTATGAGCATGGTGTTGTGTCAAACAATAGGTGGTTTTGGCAGTGAGGGGACACCACGGGGCATTGGAAAAGCGAAGAATGGTCATTGGGGGGGAGGAAAAAAAACGGGAGGAAGAATTTGCCACGTTCACAATTGGGAAGAGGAAGGCAAGTAAGAAGACGAAAGGCATTTTTGAGTCGACTCAAAAGTCAATTGGGAAGAGGAAGGAAGAAGACGAAAGGCAGGTGCGTAGTTTTTGAGACGTCTCAAAATCAACCTCGCTTCACGTAGGAGGAAATCAGTACATGCCCACACACGCCCATCACGACACGCACATGTGTGAAGTGCCAGTCCTTGAGATAATACACCCCTTCCTCTCCATCCCCACCCTCGCCCTCGCCCTCGCCCTCGCCAGCACCATTGCGCGTGCTCCCCGCATGCGCCCTGTCCCCCGCGCTCTCGCCCGCTCTTTCCCCCGCGCCCTCCGCCCCCTTCTCCGCCGCCCGCGCGTTGGCGCGCTCCCACTGCGCGACGAACTCGCGCACGGTCATGGTCACGCGCCGCTGGTCCGTGAACTGCTGCTCGCCGCACACCGCCACCTGCGCCACAACACCGCACGCGAACACAACCACCACGCGTCAGCGGTGCCGAGTGGCGCTGAGGGGTGCCGAGCGGTGATGACGGGCACACGCGGGGTGCATGCTCGTGCTCAACGATCGACACTAATTCCATCTTTCCCCGTTTCTGTTCGCCATATCTATGCTAACCTGACAATAGTAGCGCCATTTGTGGCCACGATCTATAGTCCGCTTTCACCTGTACTCGCGAATCTCCGAACGTGTCTCGCATCAGCGGGAGGTTCGGCCCGCCGTCTTCGCATCGCCATTCGCGGAACGCACGCCACTTGTCTGCCACGCCACGGATGAGAACGGGATAGCCTCTTCGCATGTACCGATTAAAGAAACTATCGTACGACAACTTCGATGCGTCTTCGACGTCGAAGTCTCGGATGACATCGACTCTCACGTCGCCCAACCTGTCGCATGGCGTCGCACGACCACTCATGATATGGCTTGGCGACAGATTGCATCTTGGAAACTGATCGCATGTCAGAAGTTGACGGCCCACGGAAAAACTCTGAGCCCAAAATCATCTGTAGCACAGAATACTTGGTATTGATAAATATTTGCTCCCATGACAGTGTGTGCTATGAAACAGTTGCGGAGTTTCTGATATCGGGGAGACGAAGAATTCGTGCGCTGGCTGGTACCCCTTGTTGCAATACGCCAACCCCTGATCACTCCAGGTGGCACGCCAATCTTCACCTTCCACATGCACGCAGTCCAATGTCGAATGGCGCTAATGGGCGCGCCTCGAGCCTCGCAGAGGATGATGCGCCAAGCAGGACGAAAAATCGAAGACGTTTTCCGACAGTGCGCTGATGCGCCAAGCAGGACGAGGAGAGGAGTCAGTGCTTGAGTAAGCGATACATTTACTGCTCTTAACTAAATTGTTCCGGAAAGACGTCCATCAGAAACGAGTTTTGATGTTCCTCAGTTAGTATAAGGCCTTGGCCTACCCATCCATCCAGCATTGCTCGACAATGGTAAGGGTAATTACATTCTGGGTAACCAACATTGAGCCCGCTGACGTCAAAAGTCACCTACGTGGCTCGATGGTACCCGTCAGATCATGCGCGCCCCTTGGTGGTACCCATCTTCCCTCCGTGGTACCCATCTTCCCTGCGTGGTACCCATCAACTGTGCGCGAATTCCCTGACTGGTACCGCAACATTTCAGCCGAGCTGTACACCGTACAACAAGGGTGTCAATGCGTTTTTCACTATATTGTCTTAACGTTTACAAGCTCAATAGAGTCCGAAGCCCGAAGTGAAACATAATCGGGTCAAATTTTCAAGCGCATTACCTATAATAAAGTGTAGAAGAAAAGCTGAATTTAGGAAAACATTTATTGTGTAGATTTCTTTAGGCTCATAAACATCCACATTATAACGTGCTATAATTTAAATCCCCACAGATATATTGCATCAACCGAAACACAAAAATTAACATCCGTGTAACAAACGATCAACTGAGACGTGTATATATACAAACGATATATATTGACTTAAGGTTATTTGATTTTCATTAATGGGTATTGTTTTGTTTCCAGAAACCAACGAATGTACGTATTATTTGTTTATGCTTTTCTATTTATCTGTGGGGGTACATGCTCAATTTATTTGCATACAACCTTATGAACTTTGTTCAGATTACCAACTGCGCGCTGAGAAACATGGTCGTAAGATTCACGCTACCTATCGCTCAGTGATGTGAGCTTACAAAGGTTCGGAGGTAACGTGAGGATTTTAGAAGGGGAGTTGATTTTTTCTAGGTTGCACTCTATCCAGTGTAAGGCACGTTGAAAGGTATTAATGTTCAAATGTATTAATGTTCAATTGCAGACAGAAAACGTTGGTATAATATAGTGAAAATCGCATTGAAACCCTTGTTGTACGGTGTACAGCTCGGTTGAAATGTTGCGGTACCAGTCAGGGAATTCACGCACAGTTGATGGGTACCACGCAGGGAAGATGGGTACCACGGAGGGAAGATGGGTACCACCAAGGGGTGCGCATGATCTGACGGGTACCATCGAGCCACGTAGGTGACTTTTGACGTCAGCGGGCTCGATGTTGGTTACCCAGAATGTAATTACCCCAATGGTAAAGACGGGAGGGGCAGTGCAAGAGCTCTCACCTCGACTCATCTTGCACCAGACAATCTTGGTTTGCTAGTCCGCGCGGTTCGCAATAAATACCATTTGCATGCAGTAGTTTTTAGCTTTTGGCGATTTTTTTTTGTGTCTCTGCCGTCTTTGCCGTGAAATGTTTCCGTAGTTTACAACCTTAGCGATCGGACTCTTTCCTGGTGACGTTTTATTGATCAAAACCAAACCTCAAAGAGGAAGCAATCGAGGTGTAGCATTTTCCGGCTTCACTAGGGCTACTAAGAGTTTAAAGACATCTTTATCCATGGACCCACGATTCGAGGCGCGCGTCCACGAAGTTCGTTCGGGTTCGGAGGACCCGCAATATCTTAAGAACCCGAAGCGCGTAACTGACGAGGAATTCGAGGACTACAGTGATGTTGAGGATTCCGATGAGGAAAACGAGACCGCAGAAGACGAGGATGCGGCGCCGACACTGGACGACTCGACCGACGCTATTCTCCTGCACGGCATTCTCGAGGTCACTGTTCACGAGGCGCGAAACATCCCGACTATGGATAAGATCGCGTTCCACGTGGACAGGTGTTTCTCCCTGTGCACGCAACCGTGTTCGTCGCGACCGCACCACCCAATCGTAAGGGGCTGCTTGTCTGGGTTAACGGTTTACTGTAGGAACATTCTGCCCGCCAGGGTTTCACTATTCACGCGTACGGTTCAGTTATTTCCAACTTGGTACATCATCGACCCTGTTCTTTAACTATCCTTCCCATCCATTGCCATGCGTGCGTCACGCGCGCTTCACGCGTGCGACGCGTCAACTATCCTTTTTCTCGTGGCAGGGCACGCGCAATGACCCCTACGTCGCCATTTACCTCGGCCCCGCCCGTGTCGCGCGCACAAGGTCCGCTTGACATTCGCGACTCGCCCCTGTTCTCCTCTTCCCCCCTCTCCCCCCCCCTCCTCCTCCTCTTTCCCCGCTCCTCCCCCGTCTCCCTGTTCGGCGAGTTCGTCCGTCTCGACTTTTGCAATACACGTCTTTATAGTTGACGAGGCGATGCAGATATTTCCGTTTGCTTTTAGTCTTCCGCCGTTCCTCCACTCCCTCCATTACCGCATGGCCACCTTTATGATCCAAACAACTGTCGCGTTCCTCCTGTCTTCCTCCTCGGCTCGCGTGCGTCCATCCGTCACCTTGAAAACACTTCGAAAACCGAGAATGTTTCTTACTTAGTTACCTTGCCGTCCGTCCGTCTCTGCTCGCGCGCGCCCCCAGGGTGGTGCACTATAAGCGGCACCCCGTGTGGGAGGAGACTTCCGCATCCCCGTCTGACATTGTAGCGGGTTGTCTTTTGAGTCGACTCAAAAGTCAACTCTCCGTGCTTGCATCCCCCACCGTGGCAGAGTGGTGCACAACAAGCGGCACCCCGTGTGGGAGGAGACTTTCCGCATCCCCGTCGCGCACCACTGCTCCTCGCTCTCCTTCACGCTCAAGGTGCGCCGCCGCGCGTGTCGCATGCGTCGCATGTGTGTCGCATGGCGTAGCGTATGCCATTTGTTCGCTGCCTACTAATACTAGTAGTAGCCATCATAGAGAGTTGACTGTCCCCCGCGTCCAATCCGCCGCGCGCCTCTCCCATCCCCCTCCACCCTCGCCCCCCCCTCTCGCCCCTGCCTCCCCAGGACGACGACGCGGTGGGTGCGAGGCTCATCAGCAAGGCAATCGTGCCATCATAATCCGATTCCCACCCTTCCCCTTCTCTCCCCCGCTCTTCCCCCTCCCCTCCTCCCCCGCCCCCCGCTCTCTCTTCCAGGACGACGACGCAGTGGGTGCGAAGCTCATCGGCAAGGCGATCGTGCCGGCCGCCGCGCTCTGCGGCGACACTCCCGTCTCCGCGTGGTTCGACGTTGCCACGTCGGGGCGCGCGCCGTCCGCGCACCCCGCGCAGCTGCGCCTGTCGCTCCGCCTCGCGCCGGTAGCAAAGGACCCCGCGTACGGGGCGGGCTGGGGGCACGACTCGCGCGTGGAGGACTCGTACTTCCCGCTGCGCCGCGGTTGCCGCGTGACGCTGTACCATGACAGCCACGTGTCCTCGTCGTTCGCGGTGCGAGCGGCGCTGGAAGGGGGGAGGACGTACGAGGAGGGGTATTGCTGGGAGGACATCTGCAGGTGGGTTGCAGCGCAGGAGTCAGGGGATTGGGGTGTGGGGTGGATTGGAGGGTGAGGGGAGAGGAGGGGGGAGCGGAGAGGGGAAAAGGCAGGGAGAAGGGGACATGTTAAAAATTTTATGGTTGTCATTCAGGGTTGAGGTTTAATGAGGGGTATGTGCAAGTTTGTGTAGTGAGAGCCTTACTACTCAGTCACCTTTCCATTGATGCCTCCCATCCCTCCCATCCCATCCTCCCTCGCACTGGAATCCATGCCCCCCTCTCTTTCCCCCCAACACCTCCTCATCTCTCTCCTTCCACCTTTGTCTCTCTCTCTTTCCCCTTTTATCTCTCCCCTTACCCCCTTCATCTCTCCCCTTCCTTCTTCATTTCTCCCTTCCTGCCCTTCTTGATATATCAGAACAATCTTCGACGCGCGCGAGGTGATCTACATAGGCGGCTGGTCCGTGAGCACCAAGATCGCGCTCATGCGCGACGCGGCACTCCCCATCCCCCCCCCACGCCATTTGCCCTGTCCTACTTGTCCTTTTCCCCCTTCTTCCAGGACGATCCTAGATGCGCGCGAGGTGATCTACATAGGCGGCTGGTCCGTGAGCACCAAGATCGCGCTCATGCGCGACGCAACGCGCCCGATGCCGGAGCACGGGGACATGCCGCTGGGGCAGCTGCTGATCAAGAAGGCCAAGCAGGGCGTGCGCGTGCTCATGCTCATCTGGGACGACCGCACGTCGCTCAGCACCGCCGCCTTCCGAACGGTGAGAGGGGAGGAGGGAGGGGGTGCGTGAGCGTGTGTTCAGTGCGTGCATGCAAGCACCAGCACGCGTGTGTGCGCATGCTCATCTGGGACGACCGCACGTCGCTCAGCACCGCCGCCTTCCGAACGGTGAGGATGGTGGGACAGTGGAGAGGGGGTGGATGGGCATGGCACGTTGGACGAGGGGAATTACTCCTTGTTTTTGTCCATACTCCATATCCCATACCCCATACCCCATATCCCATATCCCATACCCCATATCCCATACCCCATACCCCATACCCCATATCCCATATCCCATACCCCATATCCCATACCCCATACCCCATACCCCATATCCCATATCCCATACCCCATATCCCATACCCCATACCCCATACCCCATATCCCATATCCCATACCCCATATCCCATACCCCATACCCCATACCCCATATCCCATATCCCATACCCCATACCCCATACCCCATACCCCATATCCCATATCCCATACCCCATAACCTACGGCCGTCCCACACACACGAGCATGGCAGGCGGGCATGATGGGGACGTTGGACGAGGAAACATACTCCTACTTCCCCCGCACACCAACACATATCTATGTGTGGTTATCTCACACCCCACACACGAGCATGGCAGGCGGGCATGATGGGAACGTTGGACGAGGAGACCTACTCTTACTTCCGCCACACCAAGGTGGTGTGCTTCAAGATGCCCCGCATCCCCGACAAGCGCCTCTCCTGGGCCAGGAAACAGGTAGGTCCCGCTCTTCCTTGCTACCACTCGTCTTCCGCACTGCACCGCACATTACCGCACTTCACCACACTACAGCACACCAAGGTGGTGTGCTTCAAGATGCCCCATATCCCCGACAAACGCCTCTCCTGGGCGCGCAAACAGGTAAGTAGCCCCACACTGCACCACACTCTTCGTGGTAACGCGTTCTTCATGTGCTCTGCAGCACACACACTGCAGCACGTGAAACACCCATACCCCTGGTACCCCACGCTGCTGTTAAACCCTACGTGCTTTCACTGGAATGTGTTTTTTTTCTTAACACTCATACCCCTCCCACCCCACAGCAGCTCGTAGAGAGCATGTACACGCACCACCAGACGCTCCTTTCGGCTTGACTGTTAAGTTGACTTAACCACTCTTCCCCTCTCCTCCCCTTCCCCCTTTCCAGCTCGTAGAGAGCATGTACACGCACCACCAGAAGTTCCTCATTGCAGACGCAGCACCAGCCGCAGCAGCAGCAGCAGCAGCAGCAGCAGCACAACCGGCAGCAGCAGCAGGAGGAGCAGCAAGGGTGGTGCGGCGGCCGCTGGTGGGGTTCATGGGCGGGATAGACCTGTCGGTGGGGCGGTACGACACACAGGAGCACCCGCTGTTCCGCACGCTGCATGCGGAGCACCAGGGGGACTTCTACCAACACAACGTCAAGGTGCGGTGCGGTGGGGTGGGGTAGGGGGGCGGGGATGGGGATTCGGGGGAGATGGGCTGAGTGGGGGGTGTGCTGGGCACGCTTCTGTTCCGCACGCTGCATGAAGAGCACCAGGGGGACTTGTACCAACACAACGTCAAGGTGCGCACAGAGGGGCGGCCGGCAAGGTGTGGTGAGTGGGGGGTGCTCTCAGCACGTATCTGGTCCGCACGCTGCATGCAGAGCACCAGGGGGACTTGTACCAACACAACGTGAAGGTGCGACAGTGGGGTAGGTGAGGGTGTGGGGTTAGAGTCTGTGTGGTTGTATGTATCCTCTTGGCAAAGACGCTGCATGCGCAGCACCAGGGGGACTTGTACCAACACAAAGTCAAGGTGAGAAGCTGGGGGGTCGGGGAAGGTGTGGGGAGTGGGTGAGGGAGTGGGGGGCATGGGCTGAGTAAGTTTCTGTTCCGCACGCTGCATGCGGAGCACCAGTGGGACTTGTACCAACACAATGTCAAGGTGCGGTTGGGTGTGCTGGCTGGGGGGTGTGCTGGCTGGGGGGTGTGCTGGGTGGGGGGTGTGCTGGGTGGGGGTTGGGTGCACTCAACACGTTGCTGTTCCGCACGCTGCATGCAGAGCAATAGGGGGACTTGTACCAACACAACGTCAGGGTGCGGTGGTGGAAGGTTGGGGGGCGGGGAGAGAGTGGGGGGCGTGGGCTGGTGAGGTGAGAGTGCGATGTGTGAGTGGCCGTTGCTGTTCCACAGGCTGCATGCAGAACACCAACACCAGGGGGAATCTTACCAACACAATGTCAAGGTGCGATGGGGTGGGGAGATAGGGTGTGGAGTGAGCGTGTAAAGATGTGGATGTGGGGGCGAGTGGTTGTGGTTGTATAAGGGAGGCAGCTTCTACCTTGTGAGCTTCACAACGTCAAGGTGTGCTGAGTGGGGGGGCAGGGGGCCAAGTGAGTGAGAGTGCAGAGGGAAAGGGAGGGTTCAAGATTGCGATGCATGAATAGTAGTTCTTATCTCAGAAACCAACGTCTGCATGCATAGAGCTACAAGCCCGACGTGGGACCCAGGCAGCCATGGCCCGACTCGACATGCAATGCAAGGTGGAGGGCTCAATCGTGATGACTCGACTGACTCGACCTGCTTACCAACTTGCCACCCCAACCTCTCCCTCCGGTCCCCTTCACCCCCTTTCCCCCCACTACTCTCCTTCCCCACTCACCACCAGACCAAGCCCGATTTAGGACCCAGGCAGCCATGGCCCGACTCGACATACAATGCAAGGTGGAGGGTGCAGTCGTGTGCGACCTGCTCACCAACTTCGAGCACCGCTGGCTGCGCGCCACTAAGGGCACTCGGGCCTCCCCCCAAAAGCATGGGAATCCCTCTCAAAGCGTCCTTTCCTATCTTTGGCTTCCCCAACCCGTCCCTTCCTTCCCTCCCCTGATCCATCCCTCCCGTTCCCTCCCCGCCCACACCAGACCAAGCCCGACGTGGGACCGAGGCAGCCATGGCACGACATACAGTGCAAGGTGGAGGGTGCAGTCGTGTGGGACCTGCTTACCAACTTCTAACCCCTCCCTCTTGCCTTTGTTTTCCCTTCCCCCCCCACACCAGACTAAACCTGATGTGGGACCCAGGCAGCCGTGGCACGACATACAATGTAAAGTGGAGGGCTCCATCGTGTGGGACCTGCTCACCAACTTCGAGCAGCGCTGGCTGCGCGCCACCAAGGGCGCTCGCGCCTCCCCCAGAAAGCGCCTGCACCGCGGGGATATTCGGGCACTGCATGGCAGTGCGGCTGTGCTGCATAAGCGGGGGTACAGGATGGGGAGGCGGAGCGTGGTTGGCGGGGAGGTGGGGAGGGGGTATCGGAGCAGGCTTGTGAGTGGGAAGAGGAGGGAGACGGGGGGAGAGGGAGGGGAGATGGGGAGAGAGGAGGGGAGGGGGAGTGAGAGGTTTGAGGTGAGCCGGGAGGGGAGGGAGGAAGGCGGGGAGGGAAGGAGGGAGCTTGGAGAGCAGGAACGATGGCAGGGAGTTGACCCAGCAACGGAGCAGCAGCAGGCAGCAGCACAGGCTGCACCGGAGGCAACAACACAAGCAACAGCACAGGCAGCAGCACCGGAGGCAGCACCGCAAGCAGCAGCACCGGAAGCGAGGCGGAGCAGGAGCATAAGGGAGACAGTGATGCGGAGACTGCACACCCTGAGGGGCGGTGTGGGGAGCGGCGCGTCTGGCGCTGCTGATGCTGCTACTGCCAGGGCCGCTGCAGCAAGGGCAGTGGATGATGATGATGACATGAGTGTCATGGCGACAGAGACTGATGATCCCGAGACGTGGCACACGCAGGTGGCTGTGCTATACTGTGCTGTGCTGTGCTGTGCTGTGCTGTGCTGCGCTGTGCTGCGCTGTGCTGCGCTGTGCTGCGCTGTGCTGCGCTGTGCTGCGCTGTGCTGCGCTGTGCTGCGCTGTGCTGCGCTGTGCTGCGCTGTGCTGCGCTGTGCTGCGCTGTGCTGCGCTATGCTGCGCTGTGCTGCACTGTGCTGCGCTGCGCTGCGCTGGGCTGCGCTGTACTGCAGACGCTTCAACAGCAGATCACGTGACTTTGACGTCTCATTGCCCATGCGGCTCATCTCTCCTCTCCCTCTCTCCCCATCCCCTCCCGGCGAACCCCTGTGGCAGTTGTTTCGATCCATAGACTCTGGTTCAGTGGTGGGCTTTCCAAAGAACCCTCTCCACGCCATGGCACAGGTGACGCCTCATCCCATTGCTGCCGCCGCCGCCGCCGCCGCCGCCGCCGCCGCCGCCGCCTCCGCCGCCGCCGCCGCCGCCGCCGCCGCCGCCGCCGCCGCCGCTGCCGCTGCTGCAGCCACTGCAGCCGCCGCCGCGCTCGCGCTCCTGCTGCCTCGTTGTGTCTTCCCTCCTTGTTGGTCACACCCGCCCGCACCCATTTCCCGCCTCCCACACCCTTCCCTCTCTCTTTCCTAACCCTCTCTCTTTCCCTCGAGCACCGCTTCATACACATCGAGCACCAGTACTTCCTGGGAGCATACCTGCTTCCTCCTGCCTCCCACCCTCTCCCCTGCCCTCTGCCACCCTCCTCCCTCCCTCTCCCTGCCCTCGCCCCCCTCGCCCCCCTCGCCCCCCTCGCCCCCCTCGCCCCCCTCACCCCCCTCGCCCCACCCTCTCCCCACCTCTTGCTCACCCAATCTCCCCTCTCTCTTTCCCAACCCACTCAGTCCCTGGTGGGAGACAAGGGAGTGACAGTCGATCGCAGCATTCAAGACGCATACATCGCCGCGATCCGCCGAGCGCACCACTTCATACACATCGAGAACCAGTACTTCCTCGGGTCCGCCTATGCGTGGCCCTCGCACCAGGGCAGCGGCGCGTGGCACAGCATACCCATGGAGATCGCGCTGAAAATCGCGAGGAAGATCAAGAGCGGGGAGCGGTTCAGCGCGTATGTGGTCGTGCCCATGTGGCCCGAGGGGGATCCCAAGGGCGCCGCCACGCAGGAGATCCTCTTCTGGCAGGTCAGGGCTTGTCAGGGGAAGCTGGGGTTTGGAGGGTGGGGGTTGGGGATGCGGGTTTGGAATCAGCGGTTCAGCGCGTATGTGGTCGTGCCCATGTGGCCTGAGGGTGACCCCAAAGGGGCTGCCACGCAGGAGATTCTCTTCTGGCAGGTCAGTGACTCTGAAAGCAGGGGGGATGGGGTTCCAAGCATTTGGGGTTTGGGAGTTCCAGGGGTTTGGGGGTTCCAGGGGTTTGGGGTTTCCAGGGGTTTGGGGGTTGGGGACCGGGATGTCGCACCAGGGCAGTGGCGCGTAGCACAGCATACCCATGGAGATCTCCACTCCTCTCCACCCATCACCAACCCTCTCTCTTCTCCAGGGCTCCAGATGAGGCCATGTATCGTGTGATTGCCTGGGCTACAGACGAGGTGCAGTGCAGCAGGCAGCAGAGGCTAAGGAAGTCTAGACGCTCGTCTAGACGAGCGTTTCATCGGTCTCCCCAATTCAGTTCGCTCTCGTTCGCATTCTCTCTTCATTCCCTGCCCGCCCATGCCCATCGCCCCCATTCCCGCCCAGTCGCGCACCATGGAGGCCATGTACCGTGTGATCGCGCGGGCTTTCGACGAGGTGCAGGCAGAGGCGAGTAGAAAGGGGAAGAGGACTCCCATGGGCGCTTCCCCAGTTGTCCCCCTTTACCCTCACCTCCCCCTCCGTCGCCCCCCTCCCCCCCCCCCGATCCCCCCCCCAGTCGCGCACCATGGAGGCCATGTACCGTGTGATCGCGCGCGCTCTAGACGAGGTGCAGGTAGCGGCGAGGGGGGAGGAAGGGCTGGGGCAGGAGCAGGGGTGGGAGGCGGAGAGGGGGCAGGAGGCAACAGTGATTGGTGAGGCCGGGGAGAGCGAGGGACAGGGGAAGGCTGGGGTGTATGCTGGTGGGCAGGGAGTAGAGGGGGGGGAGGGAGGGGAGGGTGGGGAGGGTGGGGAGGGTGGGGCGGGTGGGGAGGTGGGGCAGAAGGGAGGGGGGAAGTTTAGGGAGACTGTGAAGGGGCTGGTAGGGCAGCTAGAGCCAGAAGCAGATGTGGCCTCACGACCAGCAGCAGCATCAGCATCAGCAGAACCGGGAGCGGATGCAGGAGCAGGAGCAACAGGAGCAGGAGCAAGAGCAGCGGCATCAGCATCAGCTCATAGCCCCCATCCCTGTGACTACCTCAGCTTCTTCTGCCTGGCCAACCGGGAGCTGCCACCTGGCGATGCCGGCACCTCTGCCCCCGCCCCTGCTCCTGCTGCTGCTAGTGATACCGCTGGTAACCGCACCGAGGGTGGTAACCGCAACAGCAACGGTAGCCAGCCGACGTCTCCCCGTATTGCCGGAGACTCTGTTCTTGTGAGTTCCTTTCCCAACTTCCCATTCCGCTGCTGCTGCTGCTGCTGATTCGTTCTCTTGTGATTCGTTCTCTTGTGAATCGACTAAGTGCTCCACGGCTGCCACTCACATCTCTGCTCTGCCTGTTCACCCTCCCTTACCCGTTCTCAACCGTTCTGAACCGTTCTCATGGATTCAAAAGGTGACTTCCAGACGATCAAGTCCTTCGGGTGGCACTGTCTATGTGTCTTCCACCATGCGTCCTCCCACCTCCACCCATCCGCGTCCCTCCCTTCCCTGTGTCTCCCTTTCCCTGCCTCCCACTGACCGTAACTCTTCAGCCCTCGGTGTGGCAGCAGACGAGCAGATTTGTCATCTTACAGGGAAAAAAATAAAAAAACGCACACACACACACACACATACAGAAAAACAAAACAAAAAAACCCAACAAACAAACAAAGTGTCCCCGTACCTCGTTTCCTACATGCCCATGGCAGAACTCGGTGTTGCAGCACAGGCGGGCCATGATCTACGTGCACTCCAAGATGATGGTGGTGGACGATGAGTACGTGGTGGTGGGGTCCGCAAATATCAACCAGCGGTCCATGGACGGGGCGAGAGACACGGAGATGGCTGTTGGGGCGTACCAGCCGCACCACACGTGGAGCGAGCGCGGGCACGCACCTAAAGGGCAGGTGAGTGGAGCAGGAGGGAGGAGCGGGAAAGAGGTGGTGTGAGCGGGCATGCACGCAAGGGGTTGGTGAGGGGTTTGGTTCGTAGTTCTAGTCAAAAGTGATCATCGGTTGGGAGGATAGACAGTGAGATGAGTATGTGGTGGTGGGGTCAGCCAACATCAACCAGCGGTCCATGGACGGGGCGAGAGACACGGAGATGGCTGTTGGGGCGTACCAGCCACACCACACGTGGAGCGAGCGCGGGCACGCACCTAAAGGGCAGGTGAGAGGTGGTGTGCATGACTGGGTAGGCAAGAATTGGCTTGTCTCAATGGAGGGAGGCTGAGGGCTTACCAGATGCACCATACCTGGAGCGAGCATGGCCGCTCGCCTAAGGGGTATGGGAAAGGAGAGAGAGGGAGGGGAGGAGGGAAGGGTGTATAAGACAAGGTTTATGGTTTGCCTGTGTCTTGTAGGTCTACTGATTTTGATGAATGTGTGCATGGTTGCTGTGTGTGACCTCTCCTCTTCACTCCCTGTCCTTTTTCCGTTGTTGCCTTCTTAATTTCATGCTCTGATACTACTGGTGCATGGCGTGATCAGGTGCATGGCTTCCGCATGGGATTATGGGCTGAGCATCTGGGATCCCTCTCCCCCATCCACGACCACCCCTGGACTTTGGATTGCATGCGAGCTGTCAACCAATCAGCGCAAGACAGGTGGATGCAGTTTGCCGGAGAGGCGCCAGTGGAGTTGCAGGGGCATTTGGTCAAGTACCCAGTTCAAGTGGGGCGAGATGGGAGTGTACGCCCTTTACCTGGGTTTGAAGAGTTTCCGGATACCGGAGGGAAGGTTGTAGGGCAGCCTCAGAGGAATTTGCCCAATGGATTAACCACTTGAACGAGAATACATGGATGATGTATAGAGATAGGATATTGTTAATGTATATAGAAAACCTTCTCAATTTCTCATCCTACTGATTTCAGCTAGTAGGTGGGAAAAGACGAAATCAATTGGATGGCCAGGTAAGGTTGAGAATGAGCTGGACAATAAATCCCCTACGCCTCCTCCACCATCATTTTGCTAGACATGATCAATTAGGGTGACTCACAATGGGTGTACAAAATATATCGTACACTACTCATCTCGCACTATTGCGACTGGGTTCATTCACATTCACCCATTCAGCAACGCCCCACACTTCGTCATTCCTGCTGTTCTTCACCCATTCAGCAACGCCCCACACTTCGTCATTCCTGCTGTTCTTCACCCATTCAGCAACGCCCCACACTTCGTCATTCCTGCTGTTCTTCACCCATTCAGCAACGCCCCACACTTCGTCATTCCTGCTGTGCTGATGATCAGTTCAGTTCAGTTCGACTGCCTCGCGTTTCGCTTCGTGCCTTGTTCACCTTCCCATTTCCTCCTCCTCCAGCCGTCGATTCTAATCTACCGGGCCGGATCTTTGTTCGTTCCCGCGAATCGCGCTCTTTTCGTCATGGCTGCGTCCCGGTCCGCTCTCTCACCTCTCCTCGCCTTTTCGCGAAGGATCCTCGCGACTTCTCCCGCCGCACCGATCCTCCCTCTTGGTAGCGCCTCTCTCGCTCTCTTCCCTCCGTCTTAAAGATTCCTGCTTCGAGCCTCGTATGTCTAGATCGCGCAAATCGTCACCTAGCCGAAGTTTCAGCTTGTGTTTCAAATTCTCCCCGGGCAATTGTTGTTGTCGATCTCGTGTCCGAGACTGTCCGGCCGTAGATTTGTTCTTTGAGACTCTTTTGGCTCTTCCTTTCGGCGCTTCTCTAACCCCGTCTGGCTTCGCTCCCCGCGTTCTCAGGCACCCTGATTGGCGCGCGCTGGCTGCAAACGGGGTCAGCGCCGTCACATGCGGCGGGGTCGGCGCCTGGAAGCGGTGGCGCGACCCCTCCGAGCGAGGAGGGCGTCGAGACGCACGACGACTTCAAGCCGCAGGTCAAGGCGGCCGATGGGGTGCTGCCGGTGTACGCGCAGATTAAGGAGGTAAGCCGACTGCATGCACTCAGGGACGTGCACAAAGGGTTTGTGCTGCCAGGACTCGTTTTTTCTTTTGTTTCGAGTATCGAGGGACGTTTCAAAGCTAAGGTTGACACCAGTGCTGCTTATAACGGGTATGCGCTGCCAGCATACGAGTGGGAGTAGGTTCAAGAGGTAAGCGCACGATATTGTGTAGAGGCGTGACGTGTGGCGACAGTAGCTTTCAGGCAGCTTCAGGATGCACAGTGTCAAGAGCCTTAAGGCACTGCCCATGGCGTTCACAGAGGGGTTTCCATCCCATCCCATCCCATCCCATCCCATCCCATCTGCACCCATGTGCGGCTTTAGGACATGCGCTGTGTGCAATGTAAAGAGAAAGCAGCAGGCAGGCAGGCAGTGTCCCAGCGTCCCACTATGCAAGTACTTTCCTCCTCCCTCCTCCCGGTCGCTCTTCTCCCCTCCTTCCCTTCCAAGGAGGTCAAGTCATGCCCGGTGGTGGTGATCACGAAGGGGCTACTATTTACACCCATGTACGGCTCCAGGACATGCGATTCAGTGATTTGTCAAGAACATGTGGCAGGCAGTGCGTTCCTCCATTCACATACCTCCCCCCCTCTCCTCCTCCCCCCCCCCCCCCCCTGTCGCCCTCCCCCCCGGTCGCCCCCCCCCCCAGGACATCAAGTCATGTCCGGTGGTGGTGTTCATGAAGGGCCTGCCATCCGCGCCCATGTGCGGCTTCAGCGCTGCTGTCGTGCGTGTGCTTGCTGCTCATGGTATGCTGCCTGGATCACTGCCATGCTTCTTTATGCACGTGCCCCCATGCTGTTCAAACCACCCCAAAGGTCGTTCGTTTCAGCGCTCCTGTCGTGTGCGTGCGCATGCTTCTTGTGCCGCCTAAAGTAACGTTTTTAGTGCTGCGGCACTTGCATACTCGCTGTGTGTGGTAACCATGCTAGCCTTAGCTCTGCCATCTTTTCCCTGTTGCCACTTCCCCTCCCCAGCTCCAACTCCTCCCTTCTCCCTCCCTTATCTCCCTGCACACTGGTTTCCACTTCCTCCCCTCCCTTTCTTTTAACCCCATCGTATTTCCTTTGTCATACTGCACCATTTTTTCTCGTCCTTTATAATTTCCTGCTCTTCTTCCTGTTACCCATGTACCATTTCAACGCCCCCTGGTGTAGGTGTGGACTTCAAGGGAGTGAACGTTCTGGAGGATCCAGACCTCAGAGAAGGAATCAAATCTTTCAGGTGGGTTAACAGAAACACTTCTCGAACCCGGTTGCAAATGCAATAATGTAGGTTTTTAGCTCAGTGTATGTGGATCCTTGTCCTGCATCCCTGCATTAGCGCATTCCAACTCTGCGATAAGTGTACTGTTGATGTGTATCTTATTGTTGCGCATATCTTACTCAATCGAACCACCTTATTTACCATTGTCTTTGCGCGCATGTACAACTTACCCCTCGCCGCAGTGAGTGGCCCACTATCCCGCAGGTCTATGTAAACGGGGAGTTCATTGGTGGCTGCGATATTGTCATGAAGATGCACCAGGTATGGCATGCCATGCCATATATGCAATGCATGCCATACATGCAATGCATGTCATACATGCCATGCATGCCATACATGCAATGCATGCCATACATGCAATGCATGCCATACATGCCATGCATGTCATACATGCCATGCATGCCATACATGCAATGCATGCCATACATGCAATGCATGCCATACATGCCATGCATGTCATACATGCCATGCATGTCATGGAGGATGCATCATGTATGGTATGAAAATGTGGCGTGTGGTGCACAAGAACGTAGCATGGGATGCAAGTGTGTCGTGTCAAATGACCTGTTCTCTACCCATGTCTCCACCTCTGCCGTTTTTTGTTGGATAAGGACACACCACCCTATGCGACATCTCCCTTCAGCTCTTCCTCTACCTCTTCTCCACAATCCTCCCCTCCCTCCTACCATTCTTCTGTCCCCCATCTCTACCACCCCATGATTCCCAAACATCTCATCCATGCATCAGTCTGGCGAGCTTGCTGATCTGCTGAAATCATTGAAGGCAGCGCCTGCCGAATCTTGACTTCAGTTTGCAATGCAGCTGGTAAGAGGTCCTTGCTCTGCAACACTGCCCTAGTATGCAATTTGTAGCTGTTATTCCCACTTTCATTTGCCTTGGTGGGCCAGCTTTCACCCTTATTGTTCCGTGTTTTCTTCCATTTCCAGCACACTTCTTACTGGACTTCCTCTTCGGCTCTATTCCTTTGAGAAGATTTTGTAAAGGATGCTAAGTTCGTTTGCTGGCAGTCATGGCCAAAATATCCGTAGATCGTTCCCGTGGTTAAACTTGTATACCTATTTGGTGCAGAATGTTTGTCCCAAAGGGAACATAGGTATGTAGAGTGAAGGGTTCAAATAAATACGGTATCAGGAACTTCAAAGAGGCTCAACTGCTCTACTTCTCCCTATCATGCACAAACCTCCAGAGAGGCTGCAAACTTGCCACCAAATACGGTAGCGTGCTTCACCAAGTGAGTTTCCTTATATTATTTACGTTGAATAAAGAATCCACTTTCGTATCTCAGTCAAATTGGGTGTGCATGCACCCTTCCAGGTCAAGAATATACCATGCACAAAACTTCTCTCAGACAAACTCCGAAAAGATCGCCTGACATGAGGCGGTCTGCCATCAGCTTCCGCCACATCAACGTCGCGCGCATCGATAATTGCATCATTCAAGATTCGCGCGTGTAGAACAGTGGATTTGAACCGTTTTGGCGGGGAAACATTCCCTTCTCCCACGGTCAGCGGAAACAGGCATGTGCCGGCGTTGCTAGCATTTCAGAACTCTTGTCCCGTACATTACAGTACAGGCCCCGTAGGGTGTGTGGCACATTGATGTGTACGCACCTCCCCGCCAGCCACTGTCACTCAAGCCCTCAGTTCGCTCCCCGCCACCCCCACGCGTCCACCCAAACCAAACCCATCCGCTCCCCCTCCCCGCACTATGCTTTTTCTTTCGCCCTTCACCCCTCCCCTTTTTTTAGTGCCTCGCTGCCCGTCCCGCCCGCCCAATAATTTCGATTTCTCAACTTCTCGAGCTCCTCACCAGCACACATCTTGCATTGCAATGCAATGGTTCGATCAGATCAGAAACAAACCCCTCGGTTTCCGGACATTCGTTCACACCAGCTCCAATCCCAAAGCGGATGCTCTGATATCTGTCCTTGCAATTGCTGGAGGCCTCAGGCCAGTCGGCATCGATTGAAATGGCGGAGAGTGGTTAGTCGGAGCCCAATGCTTCCCATTTGGCCGGCTTTTGTGAATTCCTTACCATTGCATTTTCCTGGGGTTCTTTTGCTGTGAACAGCATCGGACTCCATTCCTAGTTTTCCTTGTCAATCTGCTGCACCAGTTATCTTTCTCCGCGCGACAAAAATCATAAACCGCGTCTATGGAAAAGTTCAAGGAAAAGCTGAATCTGCGTACGGCGGCGGCGGGCGAAGGTAGCGGTTCCATGTTAACACCTGGCGGGGGTGGCGGGGCACGGACAATGAAGGGCGGCGATCAAGGGAAGCGACTCTTGTCGCAGTCGGCGGTTAATCGATGGCTTAAAGTGAACACCCAAGGTGGGGCATGACTGGGGATATAATCAGCCGGTTAACAGCTTTTATTAGTGCGGACTTTTTTTTTTTTTTAGATGGTGTAAATGCATGTTGGTTATTCCGTCGAAACTTCTCTGTTTCTTGCTGCATCTCGCTCGTTCCTTCTCACATCGACGTTCCATTTTCGTTGACAAAAAACAATACGTGGCGGCTGACGTAAGGGATGAGGGTGGCTTGCCAACGTAGCGCGTGCTAAGAAACGCGGTGCTCCTCGGCTGCCGCTTTCATCCTTTCGCTCCTCGTTCAACCCTCTTCCTCTCCCTCTCTAGCTTTCTCTTCCTCTTTCTCTTATCTTGCTTCTTGCGCCTTCCCACTCTGTCTCCTCTCCCCTACCTCACAGCCTTCACCCATATGCACCTATGCAGATTTCATGCTCTTCGACCAAAGCGCCGAGTTTTCCCGGCAAACTTTCCACTCCTTCTCTCCTTTCTCCGTCCCTCTTTTTCTGCTTCTTGCGCCTCCCACCCTCTCCTTCCTCCCTCCCTTCACTCTCCCCTGTCTTGCAGACGTTTCTAAGTGCGCCGACGCCGTTCATAAGCTGCTAGACGAAGGCGCGGACTCGTTCGGCAAGCGCGCCGAGTTAATGTACGCGCGCCGCCCCGACATCCTGCAGCAAGTCGACCTGCTGCATAGCCGCTACTTAACTCTCGCCGCGCGCTACGAGCAGCTATTCGTCACCTCCACGCACTACGCCGCCGCCGCCGCCGCCGCTACTGCGAACGCGGCGGCTGGAGAAGACGGGCAGGCTGATCTGTTGTCACCGATGATTAGCCCCAGCGCGTCCTCCGCCAAGCTTGCGGAAGATGCGGCAGCGGCGGAGGGTGGGGGGAAGGAAAGGGGAGGCGGGAGGTTTGACCTCGGGCAGGATCCCAGCGCGATCGGGATTTTTCTGGGGCAGATATTGGGCAGCTTGGAGAAAGGACTGAAGGAGGAGGAAGACGGATCAGGGGCGTGGAAGGAGCTGGTCGAAGCTTTGTCGAAACTGAGTTCCGTAGGGAAGGAGAGTAAGGAAGAAGAGAATCGTGAGGAGGAGGATCAGCTAGCTAAGGCAACTGACTTGTCGAAAATAGCGCTAGCGCGGGAGGCGGTGGGTCGTGCTAAGGAGAAGCTCGATGCGCTCCTGCGGCGCGCTAAATCCGGCGCGGAGGTGGAGGAAGCGCTGAAGCAGAAGCTGGCCTCGTTAGAGTCACTCGAGGAGGAAAACGCGATGCTGAGAGAAATCGTGGAAGGGGAGGCGGACACCGGCGCGGGGGGAGGGGGGGGCGCGGACGGCGCGGCTGGGGGCGGAGACGCAGGCGCGGGAGCGGGCGCAGGGGGGAATAAGAAGGCGGGAATGCGAGACGATGAGAAGCACGTGGCGCTAGAAGTGGAGGTTGGGCAACTGCGGATCAGGAATATGGATCTTAAGCTGAAGCTAGACCGTCTCACGGCCGCTCTTAAAGAGTCTCGGGAGAGAGAGGCGCAAGCCGCGATTGCGCTCGAGAAGCTGAAGGAAGAATGGGGGAAGGCGGAAGAGGCCGGGGGAACAGGAGGGGGAGGAGAAGCGGACGGCGATGGCGGTGGAGGGGAGGTTGGCGGGGATGGGGGGAGTGAGCAGGAGAAGGGAGGGGAGGCAGAGACGGGGGAGGAGGAGAAAGCGGAAGGAGAGAAGGGCGGGAAGGAAACGGAGGAGGTGGCAAGGGAGGTTGAGGCGGGGCAGTGGAGGATCAAGCAAATGGACCTGCAGGTGACTATAAAGAAGCTGCGGGAGGAGCTTAAAACGAGCAAGGAGGAGGTAGCTCAGCTGAAGGCTCTGCAGCAGCAGGACAGCCAAGAAGGCGGGGGGAGACAGGATATGGAAGAGCGTAGGGTTGGGGGAGGGCTGGGTAGTGATCTGGCTAGTCCCACTGGCAGCGATGTTTCTGTCGCTTCTTCTGCTGGTGCCTCTGATGCTGCCGCGGCCGCCGCCGCCGCTTCCGCCTCTGCTCTACCCCCTACCCCCTCTGCGGCCAATCCCCCGCCGTTAACCCCCGGAGGGCGCGCATTGACGCGCGTGCCTTCTGGGTCGGGCGGTAAGAGGATGTGGATGATGGGGGGACGAATGATGCCTGCAGTCGAAGCTTCTGCTGGTGGTGGTGGTGCCGGCTCTGGTGCGAGTTCGGAGAGCAAGGAGGAGGAGAACAGGGCAGTTGCGAAAGAAAAGGATCAGTACACGGTGGGGCTGGAGGTGGAGGTCGGGCAGCTGAAAATAAAGAACGGGGATCTGAAGATGAAAGTGGATAAGCTGCAGAAGGAGACAAAGGAGCTACAGGAGCAGTTGGGGGCGGCAAAAGAGGAGCTTGAAGTGTGGAAGAAAGACGGCGTGCTGAAGGGCATAGTAACCGAGAAGGAGAAGGAGATAGAAGCGCTCAAGAGGGAGGTGGAGGAGGGGCAGAGGCAGGCGAGTGGGGCGGCAGAGCGCAGGGAGCAGGCAGAGAGCGCAGTGGCGTTAGACGTTGAAATGGGGAAGCTCCGTATGAAGAACATGGATCTAAAGAGCAAGGTAGAGAAGCTGCAGCAGCAGGTGCGGGAGCAGAAGCAGCAGCTGGCGGGATTAGGCCAGGGAGGGGCAGGGGCAGGGGATGCTGGGGAGACGAGTGATGCTGGCAGTGGTGGTTCTAGTGGAGGATTGTCGGAGAAAGGGAGAGCGGTGGCGAGGAGTTTTAGCTGGAAGAGTGGTGCGGGGAAGGGGGGAGGAGGGGGTAATGATGTGGGAGGGGAGGCAGGGGACGTGTCCAAGTTGCAAGCCCAGGTGAGGGAGTGTGAGAGGGCAAAGGCCCTTCTGGAGGAGGAAGGGAAGAGGAAAGACGAAAGGATCAAGCAACTAGAATCCGAGGTTAAGTCGAAAGCAGTCGAGATGGGGATGCTGAAGAGGAACATGCAACGGGTAGAGGGTGAATTGAAGGATCTGGGAGCGGCTTCTGGCAAGAAGGATAGCGGGAGAGGGAAGTGGGGCGCTGTTGGGAAGGTAACAACTGCGGTTGCTGCAGCCACGGCTATAGCTGGAGGAGGAGCAGGAGCAGGAGGGGGAGGAGGAGGAACGGCGGCACGGGCAGCAAGCATGGACGGAGACAATGTTGTGGTTCATGATAAGGCAGGGGATGATGAAGCAGCAGGGCCAGCAGCCGAGTCCGAGCAGGTGCTTGGTAAGGGAGGAAAGAGCGGGAGCGGGAACGGGAGTGGGAGTGTGGACGAGGTACGCCTGGCAGCGTTAGAGGAGGAGGTGCTGCAGCTGCGTGCGGCGTTGAAAGCGGCGACACAGAAGGTGCAGGTGCTGCAGCCCATGGCAGCTCTGAACGAGAAGCTGGTGAAAAAGCTGCAGGTGCTGGAAGAGGAGAAGCGGACGCTCCAGGACTTGCTAGAGCAGGTGCTGGAGAGGCGGAGGAGGAGAAGCACCGGCGGAGTGGGAGGAGGAGGAGAGCGAGCGGTGGTGAGTGTGGAGGAGGAGAGGCGGCGGCAGGAGTTGGTGCAGAGGCTGAGGGAAAAGGGCCTGGTGGTGGATGATGTGGATGATCTATGTGACGATGATTTTGGCGATGGGCCTGGAATGGGGTTTGGGCTCTTCTCGTGCTTGTTCCAGAGCCGGGGCATGGCCCGCCTCATGCACTGATGTGACGTGGGATCGTGTGATGGTTGGGTTATGTGATGATGGGGTGGGATGTGTGTGATGCGAGCTTTAGGGTTTGGGCCGCTATGGAATGGGATACAAGGTACGAGATGTTAAGGATATGGGTGCATGGGAGAATTGGAGTTTGCTGTAGGTCTTAAAGAGGAAGACTGAGAAAGCTGCTGAAGATATTGTTGAACTTTAGCTAGTGGGCTCTGAAATGTGGATATGGCATCTGTTTCAGGTGTGGTGTTCACTTACTGTACATGACATGCCTATTACTGGCAGAAGCCGAATGATGATTGACTATTATGGGTTGGGGTACATAAACCTAACCGTAATAGCTGCACCCCGTATGACACGCGTCACTAAAGGCTACAACATTTGACATACTACGGTACCCCCATAGGTTAAGTGAGGGTGTCAAGCAATACCGTAACAAAACCGTATGGTCACAAGATCAGTCACAAAGAAACAAAGCTTAGGGTGGATGTCATGTCACCACACACTCCGAGCACAAGCAAAAGAGCCACAAGGCCAGTCCAACCAAGAGCTCACAGAGGTACCGTATTCTCCCGGACAAAACACCCCCCCATAATTGTACACCCCCGTGTAGCTTGTGCGGGGTGGGTGTTATGATAGACCTCGTTTCTACTATACCCCCCTTTTTGGCTGATTTTCTATAACACCCCCCTCTTCTTACGGAATCATTATTATAGTTGTTAACGAGTAGCTGCAATACGGAAGAATATCGCGTGAATTTCTCCCTCGATGAAATTTCGCGGTACATTCAAATGCAATCTACCGAGATTTGCCCCCTCCCACTATTTTGCTGTCGCCACGTGCAGGTGAATCTTCCGCTGCAAGTGGCAAGAGAGGTGCCACATGGCATTTTCGTGGGGGTGATGAAGTTCGAGGCCAAAACTCGCATTTGCGCCTCAGGCAGTGATGTTAAAATGACCAGCAAAACACCCACATTGACTACTTAAAAAAACACTAACACTAAAATATGCCATATGTAAAGACCCGGGTATTATGTATTTTTTTCCTATGAGGAGTCTTCCCCCATTTTTTCCCTGTATTTTTAGCTATACCCTAGGGTGTTATGTCCGGGAGAATACGGTAGTATATGCAAAGTGTACACAAAGCAAGCAGAAAACACAAGTCTACACAAGACGAGAACCTCTGTCAACAAGACCTAATTGCACACAACACGTGTGGTGGTCATAAGGCGGAAGGACCTTGATGAAGATGTCTGTAGTGTTGGCCTCGGACTCCACAAAGTCCAAGCGAGTCTGTCCACGCCTCTGCAACTCTCGCAGAAGAAAGTACCTGACGTTGATGTGCTTCACTCTGCTCTCCAGTCGAGGCTCTCGACAAAGGAGAATCGTCGCATTGTTGTCAGTCAACAAGGTCGTTGCAGAGGAAGAAGGTCAACCAACGCAGCTCCTGTGCAGCCGTGGCTCCTGCGTAGATCTCAGCCTCAGCGGAAGAGGTCGAGATAGAGGAGGAATGTGTTGTGAAAGCTAGGTGAAACGTGAATGTCGAGATTAGTGAGCAAGGGGAGTACAAGGAACAAACCTAAAAGTGTTGTACCCCCTAGAGCTAGCATCACTATGGCCTATCCTAATAACATATACATACCCATATGTTTGACACACCCCCATGGGCTAAGTAAGGGATAACAAGACCAACAAAAAGGTCACAAGACCAGTCAAGAGAAGGAACAAAGCAAAGCAAAGCTAAGGGTGGATCTCAAGATCACCACGCATTCTGAGCACAAGCAAACGGCCACAAGGCCAGCTCACATGCAGAGTTAATAATAGCAAGAGCAGTACACTGATCACACCCTAGCAAGTGTAAGCATGCGGGTATACTCATATATATCAGTGTACAACAAGAGCAAGATCAAGAGACAAGCAAGTGAGGCAGAGTGGGCACAAGCCCAAGAGCAGTGCAGAAACGCTGATGATCACTAGACCTAAGGACCTTGGTGAAGACATCAGCAGTTTTGGCCCAAGTGGCCACGTAAGCAAGACGCTGACCACGCTGCTACAGCTATCGCGTGAGGAAGTAACGGAGAGCAATGTGCTTCATTCTGTGCTTCAGTCTCTGGTCCTGACACAAGGCAATCATGGCCTTGTTGTCGACGTATAGAACTGGAGAAAAACGATGCCGCTCACCCAAGTCGGTCAGCAGGTAGGTCAGCCACCGGAGCTCCTGTGCAGCCATAGTCCCAGCGTAGATCTCGGCCTCACAGCTGGATCTAAGTACAAGAAGAGCGAGTGGACCTCCACGAGACAGAACCAGCGCCGAGCTTGAAACTGTCAGATTTATATGACATAGCTACTGTAGGCTATAGTGGGGTAGCACATATAGGGTACAGTTGTCTAGGGTTTGTATTTGTACCCAACTTTCCCTTAGTCAATTCATTCTAGTTCAGTTTCTCATGGTATCGAGCAGGTTCCCCTGTGGGAACTGTTCCTAGGGCCCACCACCTTTTTTTTCCTGCCCGGAGCGCGCTCTACACTGCCCGAGTCGCGCTCCCCTCTCTCGACCCTGTCGCGCCGCCTTAGCGGCCCCGTCGCGTCGCGCTTGCGGCCCCGTCGCGTCGCCCTTGCGGCCCCTTCACGTCGCGACGCCCTAGCAGCCGCGTCGCGCCGCCCTCGCGGCCCCGATCCGCCGCCCTCGCGGCTCCGTCGCGTCGCGCCGCCCTCGCGGCCCTTTCACGCCGCCCTCGCGGCCCTTTCTAGCCGCCCTCGCGGCCTCTTCAAGCCGCCCTCGCGACCCCCCCCTCCTAGCCGCCCTAGCGGCCCCGTCTCCTACCCCTGCGGCCCCGGCGCCGCCCTTCCCTGCCTCGGCGCCGCCTCTGCTGGCCCCGTCGCCTACCCCTGCGGCCCCGGAGCTGCCCTTCCCGGCCCCGGCGCCGCCTCTACCGGCCGACGTGTAAACGTGGCCAGGTGTCGGCCTGTCCGAGCGTCCGTGCAGTGGGTCACCCGCTGACTTGCAGGAGTGAACTGGTGAACCCCCGCATCCTGTAGGTCAGCACCACTCACCAAGTTCGTAGAGAACGAGGGGAGGTAAAGACCAGACAGGGTGCCAGAGGGGGCCGCCGGACACGGGAGAACAGTGGAGAAGTGAGCAAGGACAGGACCCCCAGAGGGGTCTGCCAGAGAGACTGCAACTGGCCGGCCAAGCGGCGTGAGTGTGGTGCGGTCTCGAAAGAAGGAGCGAGAAGCCCCCGAGTCAAGGGTGAAGGTGTGGGAGGCCGAAGCCGACGCAGTACCTGAGAGAGCAGACTCACCAGCACCTGAGGGAGCAGACGCACGAGCACCTAGAGCAGCAGCCTCGCTAGCACCTAGAGCAGCAGCCTCACCAGTACCTAGAGCAGCAGTCTCAATGCCCGGGTCGGGCGGAAAACACCGGTAACAGTCACCCTCAACACTAATAGTCACAGCATACATGGCAGCAAGAATAGCATCAAAGTCAAGGTCAAAGACAGCTACACCCGCCCTAGACAGCTCGCCCCAGCGGGGGATCTCAGTGGCCTCAGGGAACTGGTGACGCCAAGCGTCCGTCAGGCGGCCAAAGCAGCGCTGGGTGGAGTGCGCACCCCCGCACTGCTCACCCGCGCGGTCGCCGGTGCGTAGGACGTAGGTGCACGGACCAGTACCCCCACCCCGCTGGCGTGCAGCGTACCACTCACGGAGCTGCTGAGGGAGGGGGATGTCACGAGCCGTACTTCGTTCCGCTCCTTCAGCAGGTTCTTGGTCTCCCGCCTTCTACTGGTCCTCCTCCTCCCTTAGAGTGTCCACAGCCTGTCCCGTCACAGTTACAGTTACTGCCGGCCTCCCCACTGCCCGCTCCTTCTCCCTACACTGGTCCTACTGGAGGTCTTGCTGAGCGTCGTGAGCCTGCGTCTCGCCCTGCGTCGCCTGTCCGTGCTGCTCGCACTAGTGGTCGCGGTTCGCGTCAGCGTCCTCCTCCTGTCCCTGGCACGCACCGGATGTCTCTGCGTCCGTCCACTGCTCCTCTGCGTGCCCCTTTGCCTTCTCCTCCTGAGTCCTCTCTTCCTGCTCTTCCCGACCCGGAGTCGGACTCTCTTCGTGCTGCCAGTCCTACTGTCACGCGTCTCCTTGCTACTGTCGTCACTGACCCTTCCTTTGAGTCCACTGCTGCGTCTGCCCTAGTTGCTGAGCTCGTCGACTTTGCTGCTCGCTGTCGTCTAGACTACGCTGCTAGTCTTGTCGATGAGTCTGAGTCTGTCTGTCCTCCGTCCGTCGGGGGTGAGTGTGCCCTTGGCACGGACGTCCTTGAGGACAGGCAGGAGGAGTTCCAGTGTTTGGCTGCTGCTTCACCTCATGTCGTGTCCGTACTGCTTACCCCTGAGGGAGACCCGGATGCACTTGACATCCTGACTCCGCGCTCTTACGCGGAGGCGATAGAGGGTCCCTACTCCTCTCAGTGGCAGGCAGCTATGGACACAGAGATGGCTTCCTGGAAGTCCACAGGCACCTACGTTGACGAGGTTCCCCCGCCTGGGGCGAACATCGTCAGTGGCATGTGGATTTTCAGGGTGAAGCGGCCGCCGGGTTCTCCGCCTGTCTTCAAGGCGCGTTACGTGGCTCGTGGCTTCAGTCAGCGGCAGGGAGTTGACTACTTTCAGACCTTCTCTCCCACCCCGAAGATGACCACTCTTCGGGTACTGCTGCACATAGCTGCTCACCGCGACTACGAGCAGCACTCTCTTGACTTCAGCACTGCTTTCTTGCAGGGCAGCCTGCACGAGGAGATCTGGCTGCGTCGCCCACCTGGCTTCACTGGGTCTTTTCCTCCTGGCACCCAGTGGAGCCTCCGGCGGCCAGTCTACGGTCTCCGCCAGGCACCGCGTGAGTGGCACGACACACTGAGGACTACGCTTGCGGCTCTTGGGTTTGCTCCCTCTACTGCCGACCCGTCGCTGTTTCTGCGCACCGACACTTCTTTGCCGCCGTTCTACATCC